GGGGAGCAGAAGGTGTGGAACAGGCGGGGCCAGAGGCTGCTACCGTGGAGGATACGGCTATGGGGGAGTGAGCATGCGGGCATGGGTTGGGTTATTTTGTTGCATATGTTTCTGCGTGGTGAACTACAGCCATGAACTAATTATGCCATTTGTATCAGTGTCGAGAGTATGGATGCATTGCAGTAAATGAACATTGAGGTCGATCTATGATACACACGAAGCTCAGGAGCAGCGAAGCTCGGAAACAGAAAAACAATGGTAAAACATACCGCACCGCACGGCGACTGACAATCGAGGAAAAGGTCCACGGAAGATAAAGCAATTACTTAGCATAGAACAAACTAGAATAAATAGTGAAATGCGATGTCAGAGCACAGTGATGTAAGATAAAACAAAAGTCCAAACAGCATGCCTACACGCCCTCGCATTGCTATGAATCGCCAGCGATCGACGAGAGCGAGGAGCTGGACGGTGTGAACATCGCCTTGAGTGCCATCTCATTCCGGTGCTGCCGCATGCGCTCCACCTCCTCCGCGCCGCCCGTCATCTTCAGCTTCTTCCCGCCGACAAAGCCCTTCAGCTCCGCCTCAAACTCGTCCGAGCGCCCCGCGAGCTCCCTCTCCCGGCTCTTCTGGTTCGCCGCGATCGCCTTCAGCCGCCGCTCCGGGTCCACCGCCGCGCCCTTGATCTCCAGCATGACCGTGCTCAGCCCGCCGTGGCCCTCATCCATCGGCGGCGGCCTGAACCCGCGCGAGCGCTGCCCGCGACTGCCCGCGGCGCCGCGGATCGAGATGACCTTCTCGACGTGCCCGTACACCTCGACGACGGCCTTGTGGTCCTCGAGCAGGTCCGCGAGGAACTCCTCCTGGTGGTTCAGGAACTGCTGCTCCTCGACGATGCTCTGCAGCTCCTCTTCCCACGTCTTCTTCCACATCGGCTTGATCGTCTTGATGTGCTCCTTCAGGCTCTCGAGCTCCGTCGCGACGGTCGTGAAGTCCTTCGAGATCGTGCGCAGCACCTGCGGCTTCGGCGAGATGTGGCGCTTCAGCACGTCGTCCTTCACGTTCTCGACCGTGTCCTGCAGCTCCTCCATCTTCGTGAGGACGTTCTGGCTGCGCATGTCGAGCTTGGTCTTGCCCGTGTCGATGTACGCGCGCGCGCCGGGGACCTGGGTGGACGCCATCTGCCGTACTTTCTGCGTTTGCGTGCGAAGAGTGCCCAGCGACTCCTTTGTCTGCTTCATGAACTCTGAGTAGAGCTGCCGCATGATGCCCAGATCGCGCCGTAGATTCTGCACCTCATCGAATTGCGTCTTCAGATCCGAGACGATACGATTGCAGTATTCAGAGGTAACAGAAGCGCCGGTCATTTGGGGCTGCAGCGACTGCCCTGTCATTTGCGGCACCATGGGCATTTGCAGCGGCGGTGGCGGATCATCTCTAACCAGGCGTGAGATTCGGCGAGCAACGGATTGGAAGTGGTGGTCCGTTGGCCGTGTGGGTGCCTGAACAGTACTCTCCGAGAGGGACTGTGTCATCGGCATCATGATGGAGGCGCGGCGGTTCTCCGTTACACTCTTTGTCAGATCCCTCAGCTCTTGCGCGAGGCCGGCGATCTGAACATCGATATGTTGTTTGATTTGGTCAAGCGCTGAGCATAACGCTGAGTAAAGCTGACAATTCCCGATGAAAGTATGACGTACGCTCGATGTTCAAAGACAACAGGCACTTGTCCTTCACCTCATCCATATCCTCCAGCTCGTATTGAACCCCACTTGATGGATCTCGGATATAGATGGCCGGGAAATTGTCCTGACCGGGGTTGTAAGCAAACTTGTCCACGAACAGCATCCGCAGAGACGAGAAGGTCAGTCCCGGCTCCATGTTCGCCTTCTTGACCTCGCGGCCAACCTGCAAGAACACCGTGATGGGGCCCAGCGGCGCCTCGGATGACGGCGCCACATCGAGCGCAGCAAGGCGCGTCGCCTCTGGGGCCGCAATCTCCACCCTCTGCGGCGGCTCGGGCGTCGGCGGGAGACGCGGTATGGGCGGCTTCTCCTCCGCGATCTCCGGCAGTGCCGCCGGCCCGCGCGTGCGCGAGACGCTGCGCTCGCGCACGACGCGCTGCGGCACGACGGGGCTGCTCTCCTCCTCCTCGTCCGCCTCCGTGAGCACAGCGAGGTCGCCGGGCGTCAGCGCGTTCGACGCGGCGAGGGACCGCCGGTTCGGGTGCCCGCTGCCCAACCCTGAGCGGTCGCGCGGCGTGCCCGTCATTTTCGAGATGTTGTACGTCGAGAAGCGCTTCGACGCGCGGCGCTCGAGCGCGTCGCTCTTCTTCAGCGCGGCGAGCGAGCTTGCGACGCCCGGGCTCGCGAGGCTTTCGAGCGGCGGAGTCTCGGGCGGCGGCGAGAGCGAGTCCGCGCGGTCAGGCAGCCCCGTGCCGTGCTCCTCGGTGGGTGTTTCCGCGGCGGGCTCGTCGATGATGACGGAGGGGGGAGGGAGGGGCTTGTCGACGAGAGAGTAGCGCTTGACGCTGGCGGGGACTTGCGATACGCGGACGGGGGCAGGGGCCACGGGTGTCGCGTCCTTGTCCGGCTCGGGCGGCGGGGGTGGCGGTGGACTTTGGGGAGGGGGTGCCGTGGGCGGTGGCCGGGGCGAGCCCGACGGATGTCTTGACATGGGAGGGGGCCCTGAAGAGCGATCTGATGTGACGCTGGTGCCTGGGCTGGGTGCGGGTTGTGCGATACCAGGAGAAAAGCCGCCTACAAAAGTATCCTCCCCATTAGTCGCAGCATTGAAGGACCCTGACTCCTTCCTCCGGGTGGACGTCTGTGTCGTCCGACGCGAGGAAGCGTCGTCGGTGCTTGTTGTTGAGGACTTGGTGTCTCGACGTGAATGACCGCGAGACGAACGAGAGAGAGAATTGCTGTCTGTGCGGCTGTGACCCGATGCGTCGGACCGATGTCGATGGCCAGAAACGATTTGGCGAAATGTGGACTGCTTGCCGCGCAGGCCTTGCAGAAGGTTGGTGATGATAGCGCGTACCTTGGGCAGGTATTTATCAAGATTCTTGATGGTAGCGTCTTCGGACAGGCAGTCCTCGAGGACTGCCCGCAGCTCATCCGGTACACCCATGAGTTCGCTGCATTGAAAGCGGTCAGGATGAGGACGGCATGTGACAGAACACGCCTGAGACGCACGACATATCGATGTTATAAGAAGCAAAAGCCGCAACTGCCGCATTGAAGTCGTTCCCCAGTCGGACATAGACATCGCTGACTTCGTCCTCTGTCGCTTGTTGATTAGCCCATTTCGTAAGAGACTCGAGCAGCTGCTTGATAGACACAAGCAACCGCGTGACAGCGGATTCTACGGCCGGCTGTATAGACAGTTGAGTCAGTCTGCAGCCGTGGAAGATGAGAGCCACGCACATTAGGCCGAGAGGCTTTGCCTGAGCGCTCACGGTCACTCGAGGACCTGACTGAGGAGATAGAGCCATTTGTCTGCCGTGATGGATGCGTTGGCTGTGATGGTGGTGCGTCTTGAGTCTGTCGGTAGGACATGGGGGATGGATGAAGGGAGGAGGAAGGCGAGCATGAGCGCAGACAATTGCTGATGAGCTGCTTGAGCCGTCCATTGCAGAGCTCGCTTATGTAATGTAGATCCCTCGCAGGCTGAGCCAGCGCTGCGCTGGTTGCCCTGTAACAGCTACATCTACACCTGTCTACTGTCGACTGACGCACGCCTGGCCAATCGCAAACATCGATTGTTATAAGCGCAGGATGCGACATGAAGCATCTTTGCGAGTGGCTGGAAAAGCCGCGGTGCACATGCTGATTACAGGCTTTTTCTGCGTACGTGTGAGTAGTACCGCAATGCTCCGACCAAACATGTTGCGCAACCCAACAGTACATGCCCTGTTGTGTCTCGTTAGTTTTCAGCGAACGACACGCGAAAGAGACACGATAGACACGCACCGTGGACTATGCAGAGTGCCTTGCCTCTTGCATTGCCGTTTTCTTCGTCTCGACAAAAGTCTCCCTCAGAGCCCGCTGCTCAGCTATCCTCTTCAGAATGGAGCCCCTCTGCGCAGTCAACCCGTTCCGCCACGACCAGTTCTTCGAGTTCTTCTTCGTCAACTGGAACAAGAACAGCTTCACAAGGTCCTTCGACCTCGACACCTGATACGCCTCCTCCAGGAACTCCTCCCGCTTCTCGCGCTCCTCGGTGCTCATGTCCTCCACCGCCTGCGGATAGTAAAACGGCTCGACGAGGCCGACGACCGCGCGCTTGTACGTGCGGTACGAATCGCCGCGGGAAAACGAGGCGTCCCGCGTGCGCTTGATGGGTGCGATGTAGTTGTCCGTGCGGATGTACGTCGTCTGCACGCCGTACACCGCGGCGAGGTACGAGCGCACGTCCGTCTTGGTGACGGACTGCGGGATGCGGAACGTCGCCTCGTACGGGTTGTACGGCTTGCCGGGCGGCGTGAAGTTGCGCACGAGGCGGAAGATGATGTTGGGAAGGTAGACCTTCTGGCCGACGACCTGCGTCTCGTTCGTCTTGTCGCCCGTCAGGACGGTGCGTGTGCCGCGGAGGCGCGTGCGGCGGGCGTTGAGCTTCTCGAGCCATTCGGCCTCGGAGGGTTCCTGGCCGTCAGGACCCATGAGATCACCCTTGGCGAGAGAACGCTGGTAACGGGCGAACTCCGTCGGGGTGAGGCCAGTGGGAAGGGCATCCGACTCAGACGAGGACGGCACTTGACGCTTCCTGAGTCTACGAAGACGGACAGCGCGGGGAGTAGAGGCCGTCCGAGCTGCAGCTGCAGTGTCGGGGAGGGTAGCGTAGCCACGTCGGAAGACAGAGTGCATCGTGCGTGAACTTGGACGCAAAGACCTGGCGAAGACAAGGCGAAGCAAGACGCGACTTGCCTGCCGTGCGAAAATCGCCTGCGTGTCTTGTCTCCAGCATTGATTCCTTCTCTGGCGCTGAGACAAGTACGGCTCAATGGTCTAGTCGCATGATTCCTTCTTCGGGTCCACCCAATTGGAGGAGGTCCCGGGTTCAATTCCCGGTTGAGCCCGTCTTCTTTTCTGCCACTTCCATCTCCGCATCTTGTTTGTTTTTGCACATTCCTTCGAGACTACCGTCGAACCTCGGGGAAAGTGTGCCATTACGGCGGCGTTGCACCTCGTTACGCGTTACCTCTTGTTCCATTCTCGCAGTTGGCCTAGGATTTTGAGCGCTCTTCGCGAGCGCTTCCACGCTTCATGCGGGGAACTTTGTTCCCAGACCATTGTCTTCTAGTTATTTTGCCACTCTAGCGCATGGGCCCTGCACACACATCGCCACCGCCGGTCGATCTGCTGGCGATCTTAGCACAGAAGGACAGGCAGGTCCGTAAGCACGAAAAGTTCGATTTTCGTTGATGCTGTGAGACATGCTGACCGCCACTCGCCACCCGTGCAGATCGCCGAGCTCGATCTCCAGGTCGAAGCGTATGTCTCGCGCACGTCCAAGCTGCAGATCCGCCTCACTGCAACGCTCGACGCTCTGGACGAGCTCAAGCAGCAGCAGCACGAAGAACTCAGGGCCGTGCAGCTCTCCCGCAAAGCCTTGGACGTAAAGCTGCGGTTGTCCGAGCACGCACGGGAGGCAGTGGAGGCTGAGCGGGACAGCTTACGCGACGCCGTCTTGCAGCTCATCGAGAAAGGTGCGGCCCTCCCCGTTTCTGCCCCGCTTGGCTCGCCTGCATGCAAACGTTGAGCCGATCGCATGCGCAGTTGAAGTATGCAACGACTTCGCGCTCTGGCCGCACAGTGGCATGTTCTCCACCGGCCTCGTCGGTGAGCATTGCATTCTATGAGGAAATCGACAGGCTCATCACGATACCGCGACGCCAGCCCCAAGCAAACTCCCCGGTGAGCCCGGCCAGCCCCACGACCCGACAGCCGCCTTCCACGCCTACGCCACGTCCACGATCTCTGCGCTGCGCGCGAACTACGAAGCCGAGAAGGCCGCGCACGCGCACACGCGCGCCGACGCGTCGCACCGCATCGCGCGCCTCGAGGCCCAGCTCGCACGGCGCGAGGCCGAGCTCGAGGCCAGCATCGCGCCGCACCGCGCCGCGCCCACATCCGCGTCACCTCCACCCTACAAGTCGACCGCCGCGCCGCGCACAGACACCCTCTCGCAGGCGGACGCGATCCGCATCCTGGAGCAGTCTGCGGCGCGCAACAGGGGCCTGAAGCGGGAGGTCGAGGGGCTGCTCGGGCGGGTGCGTGCTCGCGGCTTCGAACTTTGATGTTCTGCTCGCTGATGTTCTGCTCGCTCATCTGCTTCCGCTGACGAACAGTTGGAGGATGCGCGCGCAGCTGCGTCGCCACCCGCACCGGATCCATCTCCCCAGGTCCTTTCCAAGAGGAAGCGCGATGGGGCTGCGAACCCGCGCTTACACCCGCTTGCGCGACCGTCATCGGCGACGTCTGCGCATGGGCACGACCTGGGATCTGCTTCTGCGGACGACCGGCCGCACCAGGCAACAGATGCATCAGCGGAAGCGTTACGTGCCATCGACCGCCAGATTGACGCGCTGCAGCTCGACCTCCATTCTCTCGAAGCGGAAAGACACCGTGCACAGAGAGCAGCATCTTTGACGAGCCGTGGGCATCCAGTGCGTCCAGCGATCCATCAGACTCGTGTCGCATTCTGCTGGGCTGATTTGTTCTGCCTGATGACTCTGGGATGATGCTGCCCGTGCTCAGATACCGCAATATACACCGAGAGAGTTCAACGAGATCCTGGTGATTGAGGAAGAATGCATAAGGTGATGCCGTGTGCCGCCGTTCCCATGCTGTGTTCTCACGAAGTTGGTTTGATTGCACGTTGCAGGCTGAGGAAAGCGGAACGAGAGGCCCATCGCGAGCTGGAGACGCTGGGCACCGTCACACGCCAACGCGAGAGCGACCTGCGCGACGAGATCGCGCGATTACAACGACGGAGCCCCCGCGCAGCCCCCGCGGCGGTGGTGCAGGAGGACGCGTTCGCCGACGACGAACAGTCGATGGAGCTCGCCACGCCCCTCCAGCCCACGCTCCTTCTCTCCCAGCCACCGGGGGTCGATCCTCCGCTGATCCCTCTCCCGGCCTCTCCAGAAGTACGCCCATCTGCGGATGATTCGCCTGCACTGCCGCTGTTGGACCTCGACACCGCGGACTTGGACCGCGCGCGAATCACGCTGGATCATCTGCAGAACGAGCTTCGCGATAAGGACGCAGAGCTGGCGAAGCTGCGCGAAGAACTGATGGAGTTGCGATCTCGAGAGGCGGGGGAACGGGGCTGAGACTGCCCACACCCTTCCACGGCCTTCTGTAGTTGATCTGACCGTGTCGATTTACCGTACAATTTATCTAGTCAGTCATAAACGATCTATTTGTGAGCGTGCACCTCGCCGTGTTCACGAGGCCGCCCTCGCGGGCCGCGGGCCCTTCGCCTGCTTCCCGCCGTCCTTCTTCTGCTTCGGCGCGGGTACGTACGTCGCCCCGCCGCCTCTGAGATCTACCCACGGCCCCCTGCGCCCCGCGTGGTGCACGACCTCGCGCGGCGGCGGCGGGACGCGCACAACTACCTCCTCCGCGGCCTTCGCCACAGGCGCCGGGGCGGGCGCCGCCGCGTACGACGCGACGGTGACGCGCTTGGTCTTCGCGTTGAGCGACAGCACCTTGTGCGGCGCGGCGGGGTCCGGCGGGGCCCCGGGCGCACGGCCGAGCGTCGGGAACGCGCCCGCGGCGGCGCGCGCGTCCGCGGCGGCCTGCACGCGGGCGGCGTCCTCCCGCTCGCGCGTGCGCACGAGCTCGGCGTCGACCTGCGCGATGAGCGCGGAGCGCGCGCCGGGGGTCAGCAGGCCGGCGGCGCAGTGCGGGCACGGGAGGTGCGGCGCGTGGAGCGCGCACAGCACGAGCCCGCAGTGCGTGCACAGCGGGGTGTACGGGGACAGCGCGTGCAGGCGAGCTGTGTGCGGTGGTGAGAAGGCAGACGTCGCGGAAAGGAGGCGGAGGGCCCGGGGAAGAAGGCGTGTGTGCGCCGGCGCACCTTGGCAGAAACACGCGTCCGAGGAGAGCGGTTTCTGAGCGGGCGGCGGGGCGGCGAGGGAGCGTAGAAGGGCTTCGAGTCGGCGGGCTTCGGCGCTCTTTGGGGGGTCTGGCTGCCTCTGCTTCGCCTTGGAGGGGGCTGCCGGGGAAGTCGGCCGCAGGCGGTCGGAAGTGAGCGCGGAATTCCTCGTCCACGCTGTCTGATGCATTGTGCGTGCTCTTCGCCGGAATGCGACGCAACATTACTCCTGCGTTCGCGGACTGTTACTTGTGCACGGCGCACCTGAGTCTCCTGGAGTGCAGTACGCTGTGTGGTCTTCGCGAAGAGAGTGCCCTGGTGGTGGTACGTACGATACGTACGAGAGCTGCACGGCCACGATGCTGACCGGGAAGCCGGGCCGTGGCGCGTGTTGCTATCAATCTGCGATCTGAACCGAGGACACCCTACTCGGTCCTTGCTAGTAGCTTAGCGCGTTGACGACGACGCACCAGCACTCGCTCCAGCTAGCGCTCCTTCTCGCCGTTCTCTCGTTCATTCCTGAGATACACCGCTTGGTCATCTTCCACTGCACACCGCCGAAGTACACAATATAACTATAGACGGCCTGTGATTTTTCAACCGTCCAGATATTGCTCTCGAAGCCTGTCGGCGTCTCCACCACCCTGCCAGTATGTACCTTCCGCCCTCGCCCTGTGACTCCCACTGCTGCCCATTTGTCCAATAGAAGTGGCCACCGCTATATTTGCACATTCTCTGCGCACAGATCAATCAGATCGGTCCTCAATACGACACCGTGCTGGGCAAGTGGCCACCTTCCCATGGCCACTTGCGTCTGTCCCGCGCTGCATCAGCAAGATCCAACACAGGTGCGCAATCTCATTAGCGTCTCTCCAGCTGCTTCTGCTGATGCATCACCCACACACCCACGGCAGCTGATGCCGCCTGCCATGGCCAAACCAATCCCCCAGCGTAGGACGCCGCACGAGCGCCCCCACGCGCACCAGACGCGATGTGTGTGTCCACGGACACTTGACCCGCCCTCGCAGCCACGCCCCCGTCCCCCGCTGCCGGCAGCGTCCGCGACGAGCACCCAGCAGAGGCATCGCGCGCGATATTGACACGCCGACACCTGTCTCGCCATGATTTCGCCGATCCTGTGTGTGTCTGATTGCCTCGCGCTGATACGTCTGACGCGTCCGTGGTGCCCGCGACATCTGGGCAGACGAGCAGGTTGCGGCGTCCCAGGAACTGCCCGGACGCGCACAGCTGCAGGTGCCGCACGTCGCGTCTGTGTAGTGTCCGGTCGATGACATGACGTGTCTGTGCGCCAGATTTGCAGCAGCGGGGACTTTCACGGAGGCTTTCGCGTCCACGAGCACGCGTGCGAGCACGTTCCTCGGTGTCCAAGCCTCATGCCGCCGGGAATTTTGCCCGTCATCAGAACACAACGTCATATACTGCGGGGTCGTCTAGGCATATTGTGGCACCAGGGACATTGCTCTCCTCCCCACTCCCGCCCCTTCCGAGGGCGCTTGTATCAATTGAATGTGCATTCTTTCTCTACAAGGCAAATGTTCGACCCGCAGTTCTATCACTGTCCGGGGAGCAGATATCAAGTGATCGGATCCCTGCATCGCACGCACCCCCACGCCCGTGATGCATTAGTTGCGTAGCGCCCTCCCCCGTCCTGCTGCCAGAACGGCCTCGGCAACGCACGAGGGTGCGCCCCCCTCCGGCGGTATGTGTGTCGCTGGCCGCTGCCGCGCGCGACAGCATTCCGTGGGGTGCTTCGCTGCACTGATCGCATGATGTCTGGCGGGTGTTTCGTCCAAGATTTTGCGCGTGCGCGCCCTGCATGCTTCACGATGCCGTGACACGCCCGCTGAAACGAATGCGGCGACGGCCGCCTTCGGACGCCTGCACACGGATGCAGCCATCTGATGCGCGTGATTGTCACAAGTCGTCAACAAGGACGGCCGGGCTGGGAAGCGT